GCCAAAAAGCCAGTTTTAGTGCAAGAAAGCTAAAAACAGCATAACAACAGCAAACAAGCGAGAAAACGTCTCTACTTTGCTATGAAGCTAAGAACAACGTGATTAGCTTTAAAAAGGCCGAAAACCTATCCTCGGTGCCAAAAAAATCTTAAAACAGCGTAATTTGGTGGCAAAAAAAAGAGAAAAACCTTTTGAGTGAGAGAAAGCTGAAATTGACGTCATTAGCTACAAACAGGCAGAGAACTTTTTGCAGAGTGATAATCTTCAAAACAGCTTATTCAGAAAAAAAGCCTAAAAATGTTATACGTTACGATAAAGCTTAAAAAAGCTCAATTAGTCGCAAGCGAACGAAGATATTTATTTGGTGCTGAAAACGATTTGAATTAGCGAGAGGAAAACGAAACTGAGTAAGAGATAGCTACAATCAGCGTGACTAGCTGCAAACAGGCAAAAACCCTTTTCTCGGTGCAATAAAGCCAAAAAGAGCGTAAAAAGCAGTAAACAGAAAGAAGACTTGTTTTCGGTGAAAAAGAACTGAAAAACAACATAAGTTAGCGACAAAAACCTTGTTTTCAGTGATACAGCGAAAGTCAGCGCGATTAGCTGTATCAGGCAGAAAACGTTTTCCCAATGCCATAAAAAACTAAAAAAAGTGTAATTCAGCGACAGAAAAGCAAATGCATTGTTTTGACTAAAATAAACCTAGAATCAGCGCGACTAGCTAAAAACGCGCCGATAAGCTTTTTGCGGTGAAAAAAACCTGAAAACTGTGTAGTTTAGTAGCACAAAAGCAAAAACGCTATCCTGAGTGAGATAAAGCAAAACCCAGCGTGATTAGCTAGCAAGATACAAAGACATTTTTCCCAGTGCACTTAAACTAAAACTAGCCGAGCTGAAAAGCAAACAAGCAAAATAAAAACTTTTCCGGTTCGAGAAAGCTAACAACAGTTTGATTTAGCAAACGGAAAAACCGCGGTTTGGCTGACATCAGGTGATTAGCTGAAAAAAAGGTAGAAAACCTCTTTTGGGTGTGGTGGTAAAGCTAAACACAGTTCATTTCAGTGGCAACAAGCAAAAAATTGTTTTTGGTCAGATAAATCTAAAAGGGGCTTAATTTAGCTGCATAAAAGCTTAAAACTTAGTCTTGAGTAAAAAAGCTGAAAACGGCACAAATTTAGCGACAAAAAAACGAAAACATCTTTTCAGAGTCATAAAGCTAAAAACAGTAGTTTAGCAAAAAAAATAGGAAAACGTTGCTTGTCGTTAGGTTAAGCCCAGAACAGCCCAATTAAGCTGGAAACAAACGAAAACACATTATGGGTGCGAAAAAGCTGAGAAAAGCGTAATTTGGCCAAAGAAATGGCCAAAATGTTGGACTAGGTGAGATAAAGCTCAAATCAGCGTGATTAGCTGCAAACAGGCAAAAAAGCACATTTGTTACGGCACAGCTAAAAGAGCGCAATTCAGTTGCAAACAAGCCAATTCAGCTAATTTGTCCAGTTTTTTTCCGTTTCACTGTTTTCGCTTGTTTGATGGCTCAAGCCATTTGGGAGTTGAACCACTGATGCTAGATTGTGCAGTTTGTGCAGTGTAATCGATAAGATAGTTATGCTTTTTGTTTAGTTGAGTCATATCAGCTACTTTGACTATTTGAACTACTTAAACCAATGAACAAAGATATTGCAATCTGTGCAGTTTCACTGTCTTGTTTTTGCGGTTTCTACCGTTTATTCGTTGAAGTTAATGTAACCAGGTGAGATAGATTGTGCTATTTTTCTTAGTTGACTTTAGTTTGACTATTAAACTAGTTCAAGTATCTGGGCTACATTGTTCAAATTGTGCAGTTGAACTGATTACGGCAATTGAGCACTTTGTTTAATTGAAGCATTCAAGCTAGTTAAACCATGTGAACTACTTCGACCAATTAAGCCAGATTGTGCAGTTTATGCAGTTGATCCTATCAGGCTAGTTCTGAATTTTGTCCACTCATAATTTAAGCTTGATTGACCATTTGAAATAGTCTAACCAGTTGACATAGATTCTGTAGACTGTGCAGTTCTACTGTTTGCAATAGTTTGACTATTTTACCGTTTGAACTTTATTACGTATTTTGTCCGGTTGGACTTTTTAGGGTAGTTTGATCATTTTAACTACTGCAACCCACGGTGATAAAATTGTTCAATTTGTGTATTTAGCCGTCGTCGCTGGCTTGACTATTTCATTTTACTCTTCTTCATTCATTGAAGTTAATTTGACCATTGCAAGTGCTTCAACTAGTTGAGATAGATTGTGCAATTTTTCTCAGGTGACCTTTGACTGTTAAGCCATTTGAACCATTTCAGCTATATTGTCTAGATTGTGCAGTTAAGTCGATTAAGCTAATTATTCAATTCGCCCAGTTGAACTATTTAGGTTTGTTTGACCATGTAAACTATTTCCACCAATTAAAATAACTTTTGCACTTTGTGCACTTTATTTGTGTTTGCTTGTTTGACTTATTAAGCTGTTGAAGCATTTAAGCTAGCTAAGTTTCTTGAAGTCTTTAAAATAGTCAAACTATTTATATTGATTCAACTTGTTGAATAGTCAAACCACGGAAGACGGTTAAACTACACAGATTACATCATCTTCCTTAATTGATTGAGGTAGTTGAAATGATTCAGCTGTACAAAATGCATAACTAGCTTAAATGGTTCCACTGCTCAAACTGCACAATCTAACGTAAGTGGATTATCTAGTTAAGATAGTAGTCTAGTAGTTGGGGCTTTTAACGCATATTCACTAGATATCAGTGATTTTGTGATAATATTACGCAGTATTTTGGCGCTGGCTTTTCCATATAATATCTATCATTTCCTAGAATCCATATGCTATCATAATTCTTGGAAACTCTGATCTATATCTAATGTATTGGTATACATGGAATATCAGCAAATATATTAAGATGATAGTCGTCATCATAGCATTCAAAATAGCGATCATGTATATGATAGTCTAGACGATTATTAAGATAGTAGTGATAGTTATGATGGTAGCTTTATAGATGATAGTGAACTGGATGATGATGCTTATTGCTTTGATGACCGATAGAATATTTCTACAAAATATTTTTATACTAAATATTTGTACAAACTATTTATACATAATATTTATACAAAATATATAAGATGTTTTAATGATGGCAATATTATTAGAAGCAGAAGAGGAGTTACATAATATCAAATATAATTAAAGGAAACCAAAGATAATCCTTGATATTATTCAAACATACAACATTTGTGTAATATTATGATATAATGTATTGCACTGAAATAATTCGTGATGAATTGGATAAAGTAATATCTCCCCTCTGTTATAAACAAACAAAGGAGCTTTCAGTCATAGTAGAAAAATGTTGGGAGAAACAGTGCTCGGAGAATAAATACCACGTGATAGTGTGCACCAATTGTGGGCATGAAGTCGGCTGTGAACGAATGAAAGAGGTTTGCAGCTTCCATGATAACAAGTGTAAAATGATATATTTCAGGAAATACTATCTTAATAAGGTAATATTAAATCTAACCAAAAAGTATAACATAATGACCACTACGAACAAAAATAAGATAATAGCAGTCTTTGAAAAGACAATTTATTACTACAGATCAATGGCAATAGAAAACGGATAATTAATATAAATATGCAAATCAATATGGATTACATAAAAATAAACAAATCAAAGAAAACCCTTTAATATTGTCACGGCTACTGGAACATGTTGCTGCTTGTTCAACATCATCCACATATTTATCATCATAACAGCATCATTACCATTTAGCTTGTGTAGCTAAATTGCCATGTGGCTAAATTGTAGCATTATAAATTGTAGCGTATAGTATTACCGTGTAGCTAAATTGATTGTTTTTTCAATTGGACATACTCAAATCAGCGGCCATTGGATTTGTTCAAACAGTTTTCAAGAAATTGTTTGTTTGTGTCGACACATGATTTATTTACAGCATCATTAGCATCACTTAGTGTGGCTAAATGGATTATTTTATTATTAGCCATTTCAAATCAATATAGACGAAAACAATGTTAGGATTGACGCTCCGAGGATTTATATGTATACCACGAGCTGGACCTTTGTATCCGTCTTTAAAATGGATTTCATAAATACATATATATTAAGAATTGTGTGACCAGTTGATGTGTTAAAGAGAAATGGGCCCTTTTTGATATCAAATCATACAAGATCCTAGTATGTTACTATTATTATGAGAGAGGTTATTACAATAAAAGTAAACACTTTTTGTTTTATCAGACACTTTCTTTGTAATAGGATTATCATCATTAACTGCATCTTGTATTTTTAACTATTTCGTCATTTTAACTTACCTACTGTGTGGAAATTGAAAAAACCATGAGTTATTTCAAACTTTTTATCTCTCATACTAGATGGAGCATCGTTATGATATCCCAAGATGTCATAAAGTATGATACGAACGACTAAATATTGTGTATAAACCACACCTGACTTATTCTTCCATATTAAATTCATCATCAGATAATTAGGTGTTACATTATTGTACTAGAGCATATGAACCAATGATCTGTTCTGATCTGCAGATTTATTGAGTGATACCCGGGAAATTGTCCTAATACTACTTCTGGCTGATATGTCAATTGATGAATGGTCAATAGATACAGAGGGGAAGTATAATTCAAATACCACTGTTTATTCACCAGCTCTATGTTCATACATGTTTTGAGCTATCCAAATGTAGTTTCATTGCATGGATTTTTTTATTGAACTGAGGATAGTCTTGATCAATGAATTTAACCCTGTAATGTTAGCTTTATCATTGAACTGCCCACTTTTATTCATGATATATATGAAAATGTGTTTTACAAGTCTGCACTACCAGCAGACAGATTTAATCTTTCATTGACATACTCCTGATAACTAGTAGTCATTAATGTATTATTATTATTATTGTTGATAGTTGTATTGAAAAAACTAACGTCAGCGGCCCGCAGATATTAATGTGTGCATGTGTGCTTTCATATGCCTGTGCTTGTTTGACATTAATTATACTTCTGCTCTTCAGATTCAAATTACCACTCATTACTCTTGTACCATCGGTTTTCAAGTAATTGCTTGTTTCTGTATCAACATACTTCTTATTGCTTCCATCTGTTGCACTTGTTGGGTCTGCTAAATTAATCACCTTATTGTCTTTCATATCAAGACCTTCTGATACGTCTAAAGTAAAAGTTTTACGGTCAATATATTTCTTGTTAATCACATCTTCATCACTGTTATCACTGCTGTCATAATCTGGTATTAACAACCTCCTTTTTAATGTTTGGGGTAATAGATTGTCCATATCTATTCTCTTGTCGGTGATGTGTTTCATCTGCCCTAGGGTTACAGCTTCATCATCATATCGTGTTCTAATGAGGTCATAAATAGTCTTACCATCACCATCCCATCTAATACCACTTCCCAATCTCATAAATTGGTTATAATCACTTTTTTTTGGTATGTTGTCTCACTCTATATCTTATTAACAGCATCAGTATTTGAAGTGGGTGCATGCAAGTTCTTAATACCGTTGTTATTCATGTCTATATCACCCTGGAAAGTCTTAGAGCCATTCAGTATGTTGTTTTCGGTGGTGTCAACATACTTTTTATTATTGGCATCTGTTGCACCTGATGGATCCCCTAGATTAACAACGTTTTCGCTGTTCATATTCAAAGTACCTGTGATTATCTGAGTTCCATGAAATAATAAAACAGTTAAAAGGTCTGCAAAATCACCACTACCAGATGGCCCCTGTGGTCCTGTATCACCTTCATCACTCTTAGGTCCTTGTGCTCCAGTGTCCCCTTGATCACCTTTTCGACTTCTAACACCAATGCCATCTTTATCACCCCTAGGACCTTGAGGACCGGTATCTCCTTTGTCACCTTTTGGACCCTGAAAACCGGTATCTCCTTTTGGTCCTCATGCTACAATATCCCCTTCAACACCTTTAGGACCCTGAGACCCAGCACCACCACTACCAGGTGGCCCCTGTGCACCAGTATCAAGTATCATCCTTGAAGCCTTGTGCACCAGTACCAGTATCTCATTTTAGACATGTATCACCTTTGTCTCCTTTTGGACCAGTATCTCACCCCTATCACCTTTTGGTACTTGTGGCCCTGCTGCTCCTTCAACACCTTCTACAGTTGTATCTATTTTGCTATGATCTCCTGTTAACATACCCTTTAAAGCGGAGCTCGCAGCGCGCGCAGCGAAGCCCCATAATAATACAAAATAGTAGTAACCCATCAAGCCGAAAAAGTTTGGACTTGACACCGTACGGGCGTCCGTACAAGGTGCTACTTTTAGCATGCGCGGCTAACTGCATAACAGGCACTATCTTAGCCATTACGTAATGGAAGGGCGAAGGAGAAGGTGATGCGCAGACGTGATTGCATGCGTAACTAGGATACCCATTAGTGTGCAGATCATTAGTGGGCAGATCACTTTGAAGTGCGCATACTCGAGTGCCAAGCTTTATTGCAGCGTACGGCGGGCACACAGTTAGGCATTACACGAAGGGTTCACGTGGGCTTGTAGATGTGAGGCCGCGTGAGCAAATAATTTGCAACACGCGTTTTGAGCGGGAAATCAAGTTGGTGAGGCTGTACTTGAACAGTAATTCTCCGTATTTTGGATTATTTTAATCAACTCGCAAAGCAACAATACCGGCAGAGTTAAAGCTTTGCCAACCGCAGGAAATTGTTATAATTCAAGTTTGTGGAGAGAGGATTTTGAGTGAAAATAGGCTGGAGAGAAATAGACAGAGTGGCCAAAGAAAGCAAGAAGTAAAAGGCGTTAAGCGAGTCGAGAAAAACGCGCAAGAAAGTTAGAAAGGACGCTAAAATCAGGAGAAAACGGCGAGAGGAACGCGAGAGAGAACAAGAGAAGGCATATGTAAAAAGGCGAATATACAGCGAAGAGCAACGTGAGAAGGAAATACAAAGAGCTCCAGAAAACAAACTGAAAAGGGGCCACCATCAAAGAGAAGCGAACCACAAAGATTCAGAGAAAGAAGAGGAGGTAAGTCGTGTCTCATCTGGGTTTTCTCTCACGCTAAGGCCCAGAAAAATTGAAATCTTTTTTCCCAATCCTCGTTTGATACTAACTTCATTTTACAATTCAAATCACGTTTCGGTAAAACAGTGATGTTTGTATTTGTAGGGGGCACCCCACCCCGACTAAGTCACTTGGTCACGTGATCTGCGACCACGAGGTCGAGAAAAACCGAAGTCGAAGAGAAGATATTAAAAAGTTGTGTCATCGTGTTCAGTGTTCTAATCTTTAATTCGGTTGGACTTCGACAACAGCACTAACATATTCATCGCTTTAAACCCTCGCGCCGGTTCATCGCTCGAATAACATTTCAAAGTATTTGTATTCTTAAAATTATTTCTTGTCTTACCATTTGGAATGTTTAATACAGTCGTGGTGTTTTGGGAAAGTAAGGCCTAGTTCAAACGTCGATCTTTACATGTACCGAGCCTAACGTTTCTATTAAGTACATGTAAAGATCGACGTTTGAATCAATTAGGATCGGCAGATTTGTATTCGGATCGACAGTGCCGTTTTATCCGACTCGGCTAGTCGGATAGAACGGTAAAAGATCGGCATTGATTCATACGTCGTATTTTACATGTACCGAACTTAATGCATACATTATACATACGTTAAAATAATTATGTTTTACCCACAATTCAAGAAAGTTCGCTTACGTGCCATGCGCGAAAGCCTTCGAACCATTCAAACAATATGGCGGGAAAGGAGGAAGGGATACTCTGAAGGTTTTCTTGAACCTTGCGTCTGAATAATTGTTGCAAACATTTTCCCACCAGCCAGAGTTTCTTTTCAGTCGACGACACGAACGAACTGGACGAGGAACTGTGATGTTCCTTTGGGAAATAAGCAATAATAGAAGGCAAGCCAAATTCAAAACTCGTCTTCTCCTGGCAGCAAGGATGTTTAATGCTAACTGCATCTTGAGTCGCCTTTTTCTACCCTCCTTAATCGCATTTGCAAGAAAAACAAGCTCTTCATTTCCACAAGTTGTGCTTCCCGCATTTTTTTCCGCCATTTTGGTAGGCATTAACCGCTGACTACGATGGAGTTATGTTCAGTTTTGCAATTAGGATCGACTAAATTCGGATCGACGTTTGAATCAACTGCCGCTCTTAATTATTCGAGTCGACCCAAATTGCAATTAGTTTCGGTACATGTAAAGATCGACGATTGAACTAGGCCTAAGTTAACTTACGGATTATGTCTTGCCTTTTTAAGTTTTAAACTTATAGCGAATAGCGTGAGCAAGTTCCTATCATTCTCTCTTCAGTTAGCTATCGCATGGTTTAAATCATTCCTTTAAAAAAACGCGCTTTATCGAAGATTTGTTTTACTCAAAGAGCGACATGATATTTTTTCCCAAAATTGAAATATAGTGAGATTGAGTCAGCGATGTTCATGTTTACATTAAGTCTGACGCGGTGATTTCATTCTGAAAATATTGTCATGTGAGAACCCGTCAAACATTTGAGAATTAAATTACCGAGCGCGAAATGTGTGGTGGAAACAAAATCACGGGTAAAATTATATTAATCCTACCACGGGAGGAGTGAATGTCAGTGTTTGGTTATGGCACCTTTTAGCGCTATGTTATCATGCTTTCTACTCGATTCGTTCGAACCTCAAGAAATGTTGTCTCACAAAAAATGGAGCCACTTTCTCTTCGCTCGACATCTCGAGGCGTACCTAGTGCTCGAGATATGATGAACATGCTGGTCACATGATAAATTTTTCCTAGTGCTGGAAACTGAAGAACCTACCTCTGAAATTGATAGTCATCACATTTTTCAACAAGCGTCCGAGCTGTGATTGTGTAATTAAACGGGCTCCTGGCAATATGAGCTCACAAGCACGCTGGTAAGCACATGGTTAGCGTAAATAATTGTTGTTTACAGTTGTCGATTTCGAGTTTTTGAGAGTTCATTCCGGGATATATTCTGTTGAATTCATTGTGGTACAATCTCGGAATTTCATAAGTGATTATGAACGATAAATTCTTATCGGCACCATAATTTTGGGGAGTTTTGTTGACACATTAACAGTTTACAATTCGTGAACCAATTCTGTAACCTGCTTTGATGTTTCCTTTTGAATTAATTGAGTCACACTCTTGGAATTTTAATCAGTAATTAAGAATAATAAATCTGTATATGTAGCACAAGTGACGCACATTTTAAACTTTCCATACGATTTTAGGAAACTATACTTAAGTGACTTTCGATAAATTAGCCTTGCATACCGCGTTGATTATTTTATTATTTTGTGGTCCCAAAAGCCCGGCTCATAAATCTAGAGGTACTGAACTTGACATATTTGATACCTAAGCCATCCTTCGAGTAGGAAGGTTAGAAGAAAAATTCTTCTACGACCGTATATTGCACCCGGTTTACATAATATTATGTCTAGATAATTGCTCAAATTTACCTATTGTAGCTGTATTCAGAAGCATAGACATGTAATATGCTTTTGCTTCACTTTATTGTAAGATGTTTCTTTTAATGTAACATATATCCATTCCTTTAATTTTCTCCTTAACCTGCCTGCAAATAATTAAATTTATGTTTTAATTGAAGTGACTGAGAAGATAAAACAGAAGTGTTGCAGAGCTCTTTTTCCAGAGTGAATTCAGGTGAGAACACCAGTAAACTAGTTGATGTCATGTGCTTCTCCTGAATCTTTAATTTTATTGCCCTGGTTTTTTTCACATAGCCTCTTTTATACTCTGCGTGTTATATAGCGATTAAATCTCAGTGAGTAGATATGCTATATCTTAGTAGTTTTTTAAATTCCATCTTTAAGTTTTTGGCATTTTCTATTTTAAAATTCATAAATTGCATTCTCTTTTCATCCATGTAAATTACATTACACATTTCTTTAACTAAAATCTGAATCATGAGGTCAACTTAGTTTCAATTAGTTTGAAACTTCATTGTACATAACAACACTTTCCTGGAGTATGTCACATTTCTTTGTAGTCTTTCTGGTACATATGATTACCACATGTGTTGTACCCCTTTAACTCTCTAGATTTCATTAGTAGTTCTCCTCACTGTTTGCCATACAATTTATGATGTAATTTAGTCTGTAGAATTTGGAATTGGATCAACCATCAATTCCCTGATTGATATTTTTCTGCATTCTCACTACTTGTCTGCTTGATATTATGCTGATAGTGTAAGGAAGAATTCTGTCTTGGTCACTAGTGGGACAAAAAGGGTTAAAATGGAGGATTTCATGACATTGTAATGATTAAAATTTTCTTATTCTTTCAAATGTAACAAAAAATGTGATGAGAATCTGATGTTCTGAAACAATGGAAAAGCCTGTTGCTGGTAGCTCATGTCTGTAATGTTTTAGTGTTCATGGGAAATGCTTTTCTTTGAAAGCAAGGATACAGAAGTTTTCAAAGCTGATAAAAATAAGCTGTTTGCAAGTAATGAAAAGCAAATTGACAATCATACCTCAATGCTTGACATACTTCCCTCAAACATGTCAGTTGTGCATGCCTACGATTGTAGAGATATCTTTAAAAATAATTTTTTGGTGTGGCTGTTTTTTGTTGATCTTTGTGGCCAAAAAAGCTACTAAAAGCACTGAACTTTAATTTTCATGTACGTAAGGCACCCTTCAAGGTGGAAGATGAGGAAGACCATAGAATGATGTTTACTAGGCACTTGCACTTACCACAATTATATATACAAGCAATACTCTACATATATAAAACTGATTACATGATGTCTGTAACCCTTCACACCCTAACATCAGTATGCACATTCTCCATACTGTCCTCCATACATTTCCTAATGTGCTAGCAAGGAGAATTTGTTTAGCAATCAAGAGGTTCTTCAGTTGATTATCATTTCCTTTATTGTCATGACCTCAATACTTGATTCAGGGATGATATTTAAAAGAGAAATTAGACGTTAGTCACTCAGGAATTAAAGTGTTAATAACTGTAAACATTTGTTAGCAACAATAGTTAATATTGTTAGGAAATAAAACAAATAAATGAACAGAAGACAGTAAAACAAGGTAAACTGTAAACTCAGTTTACCACATGATAGAAGAAACAGAATACTTAAGCAGGGAAATTCGGATTGTGCTAGGTATTTTTCCCCATTGCCCTTCATGTTTTTTATTCAAATAAAATTTAATCAGTAATAGGGTTTGCCTGCTATGTGTCAAATTACCAGTGTGGACTTGATTCTTCTCAGATGTCAGCTGGTAAAAGATAGATATCAAGAATATATGTCCATAAGAAAAATTACACACCCTCAAAATAATCACACTGAGGTGGTGGTGTGATTGATTTGTGATATTTAGAACAGCAGAGGCAGAAGAAACACATTGAGCTTTTTCATATTCCCTAGTATGTTAATTAGACTTTGGATTCTACCTTCAAACTGGGTGAGATTAAAATAATTCCTATCATGCTTCATTATGGTTTGTTTACATGGGAAGGTTTTGGTTATTATAGTTTACAGATATTTTGGTTACCATCTCAATTAACCCTTTAACTCCCAGGTAAAATTTATAATTCTCCTTATTGCTAACAATTCTTACAATGTTAGTTCAGAGAATTTAGTATTGGATCAACTAATTATCCCTAAATTGATATTTGTCTTTATCCTCATCACTTATCTGGTTGATGTTATATTGATATTGTAGAGAAAATTTTTTTTCTCGGTCACTCATGGGAGTTAGATAGTTAATAATCATAACAAAGTTTCATTTAACATAAAATGTTTCAAGAACTTTTTTCCTTTCTCTGCAATACCATTTTCTATTTCTGGAGACAACTAACCCTTTAACTCCCAAGATCTCATTAGTGATTATCCTTACTGTCTGCCACATAGTTCTGATGATGTTAGTTTTGAGAATTTTGTATTACATCAACCAACTGTCCCCTAATTACTATTTTTATTTATTTTCATCACTTGTCTGATTGATATTGTATTGATATTGTTAGGAGAAATTCTGTCTTGGTCACACATGGGGGTTAAAGGGTTAAAGGGAGCAGGTTATTAAAAAAAATTATAACTTTTCATTTAGGTACTTATTTGTATATGTGAGTAACATTTAATGTCTTTGCATGTAACAGAGTGATTAAGCTGAGGATAGCCTCAAAAAGGAGCAAAATCCACTGCTGCTGAGTTGGGTGACTGATTTGGAAACTTGAGCACTTCTTAAACACACCTCAGCTTGCAATTCTGATGATTAAAGGTTGCTGGGGTAATTGAAATGTCAGTCCCCATGCATGAACCATCCACGTGACCTGTACAGTCATATGCTATGAGATAACTTTAGAAAAATGCATTTGTGACAGTAGAAGTATTTTAAGTTCAGTACCACCAAGTAACAAAAATGAGTGATTTCCTGTAAGCATGAATGTTTGGGAGAAGTTATGGTGGTAATTGACCTTTTTTGCCAAGATGCATAGGGTCTAATGATTGTAGTGTATATCTTTTAGCTTTTAAACTTTCAACTTTGCATTAATTGTAACTGTTTACCATATCTATTTCTCAAAGGTTGAGGCAGGTGGGTCAATAACCTGACTTCCTTTGTTTGGAATTGTGTCATTATATAATTTTGCTGTGCAAGTTGCCTCATTGCAACATGTAATATTATTATTCAGATGGTATTGAATATTCATACTCAAGCTTTCATTAATGCATGGTGTTTCTTACCAATGTTCACACCAAAACTAAACATTGATATCTGGAAATAGTCACAAGAGATGTGAGTTTTAAAGGGTGGGAATCTGGAAAATTAAGGGACCTCCTTTAATTAGGACTGAAATTAATGGGAGCCTTCTTGTTTTAATTCATGTCTTTACTTTGAGCTGCCTTCTTCCCTGTAATAATTAGGGCATGTAGATGAGGAGGATATTTCTTGTAATTTGATGCATGAAAGGTAAATTAATTGGCAACCACATGATGCACAAGGCAAGAATATAAATGCCTTAGCTTAATAGGTTAAAAAATTAAAATAAGAGAGTTGTGCAGACCATGTCTTACTTTTTATTCTCTTTTGGATGTTTATCCAAATAACATAGTCACTATCAGTCTCATTCACTCTCAATTTCCACTGAGCTTGTGGAGAGATGATAACCTCAGTATTTGTTTAAATGAAGAAAGGAAAGCCTGCCCTCTTACCACAGATAGTTCTTTTGGGCATCATCAGTACAAACCTGGTTTAATTTGTATATGAAGAATTTTTTTTGTTCCAGGTAAGCTAACCTTAAAAATTAGATGTAAAAATTTCTTGAACCTGTTATAGTATGAATGTTTGACTCAATTTTACCTCAATAACCAACATGTAAACAGAATAAATAGAAACTTGAAATTTATTTGTTCTCCTTTTGAAGTGTGCATCAAAATTTCAAAGTCATCACAGGTTTGAACTATATGTTTAGAGGGAATCTAAAAGAAAATGTGCCATAAAGGAACAGGCAGGTGTTGTAAAAAAGTTTGCAAAGCTTTTTCATTAACACACATTTCTTTTTCTAAGAATCCTGTTTATCCAGCCTATGCTGAATTCTAATTTTTCTACCAAATTTTCTTTTCTTTAGAATATTCTTAGATCTCCCAGTATCAGTTAATATTCATGTAATTAAAATAAATCTTCCAGATGAATGGCATATTATTTTTTCTCTGATCCTCCTAACATTTTATTATGGGAAGGGATTGGTATTGGCTATAAAACTTCAGTCAAATTAAAGTTTTATGTACAGCTTATGCACCAAATTTATATCATAAAATATTGTATCCTTCTTAAAACTAGTTTATCAGAATAAGAATGAGTTAACCAAAAATTTACGCATGTGCAATGTTTTAGAGCCAGTCCCTGTGTGGTGTGAATGTCACGAAATGTCCTATGGTTGGTATCGATGTGGTGTGAGACGTCAGGAAATGTTACGTGTGACGTCATCTGCCCAAACTTGCCAACCCAAGCTCAAATCCTAAGGGAGATGTTGTCTAAACTTGTCTAAAACTTGTCTAGGACTTGCACAACACTTGTCTAGTATTGCTCAAGGCTGTCCGAATCTCAAGGGGTTAGGATTTATTATTTGAAGTGAAGTCGTTGTAAGTAGAAGTAATCATCAACATGCCTGTGTTTCAATATCCCTACGACTTTACGTGAACATGCAAAATATGTAAATCGTGTATCAAATATAAAGAAATTCTTGAAGAAGCGGCATGGAATGTATTTATGAGGAACCTGTGGATATTACATGAAAGGATTGGCTGTGGGTACATATCATCACTTGGGTAAAGCTATCAAAGAGCCTACTGAAGATCCGTGGTTAGGTCAGGTAACGAAACATGTGCGACGTAGAAAGTAATCCAAAATGGACTCTTCATCATATCGATGAGCTTTTGGATAATGTGGAAAAGAATGCTAATGAAGACGACATGACACGAACGTTAAAACATGATTATAGGCTAACACTTGAAGAAGAACAGCCTGATTACATGGAAAAGAGAAATCGAGTGTTTGAGGCCCTTGTGGATTTCATCAAGCTTTTAAAAGAAAGAGAAATCAATAGACCGTCATGCGATTGTCCAGATTGTCAAGATCGTTAAACCAATCAGATTGTAAATAGATATGTAATAAAGTGTTTGAAAAAAGGTTCAAGTCTCATTTCTTAGTGACGATGGCTATCTGCGACGATTTAGAGCGAACGTTAAGAGTAAGTGTATATGAGTCCTATTTGTCCACATACTGTGTATACATTTCATGTGAATGACGAGAAAAAGATGGGTCGCGCGAGTGTGTTACTTCTCCACATTTTGGGGTATGAAGAAACATCGACAGAAGAGGGGAGATACTAACATAGGCGTACGGGCATTTTTTTGCCAGGGGGGGCGGTGAACCATTTGCCCAAAAATTTCTCACAAGTTGCCCAAATTTTTACGAAACAGTCGAAAGGAAACGAGGGTCATACGATGCACTAACAATGGCTTACATATGAAGTGAAAATATTCTTACCTATGAATCTATCATATGAGCTCAAAAAACACTTTAAAACTTAAAAGAAATAACTGTCTCTGCCATTTCGACGACCGAAGATATCAATGATACGATCCATGTCATTGTTGACTACAGAGTTGGCATACGCCCTTTCAATGTTGATAAGTGCAATATTACTGACACGTTGTTGCCCCACAGTGCTGCGGAGGTAAGTTTTCAATCTGCGCAACGCACTGAATGATCGCTCTGCTGAACAGGATGTAGCAGGTATCACTGCAAGGATATGCACCACACTGGAAAACTCTGGAAACATATCGAATAGATCATTCTCGCGCATTGTCTCTAGCATTTCTGAAACAGTCATATAGCCCAATCCGCGCACATGACGAAAACTCGCGTACATTTTCTGCTCGGCTTCCAGAATCTCGCCGTCGATGTTGTAAAACTTAGCAATGCGGGAGAAGCTTTCTTTATCAGGTGTTTCACTGTGGCAGATATTTCCCAAAGCAAAGAGGATTTCCTGGTCATTTCCGCTAAACCTGAGCTCAAGCTCGGACAGCACCTTGTCGATGGAAGCATAGTAGGTGTTAATAAGATGGTGCGATTCCGGTGTCAGCTGCGTTTGTCGTTGCGCGTGTTCACCTACAAGGGCTTGAAGGCGGCGCGATGGCGTCTGTCTGGGTGCCCTGGCCTCTCGTAATTCAAACTCAGAATTGGTCAGCCACTTCTTAATTTTCAGACCCATTGCTGATGCTAACTGCCATACGCTGTTGAAACTTTCTTCGTTCCAACACTGGCGTAGGGTCTGAATGGTCATGTCGGCATTTCTACGAGCGGAGATGACGTCAACCGTCTTCCCCTGAAGATATCGACACAAACTACTGGTGTTGCTCAGGATTACTTTCAGCAAACACAGTCCGAAGATAAACTCCAAGTCACAAATGGCGGTCAACAAGGCTCTGCTCTCAGAGTAGGTTTTCGGATCTTTGTCTGCAGACAGCGTGAGGAGGGCTTTTACAATACGTTTCATTTGCCCGTATACGGCTTTTACGGCTTCCCACCGGCATGGCCATCACGTGGCACTCAATGACTTCAGCGTCAGTTTCAGGTCCTCGCCTTGTACTTCTGTGTCACTAAACAGGGCGTGTCGTTTGGGACTCGCATCTAAAAAGTTGTGCAGAGCCTGGATAGTCCCCAAAGCGTTTCGCAGTGGTTCAGTCTGTGTCATAGTATCCTGAAGTGCGAGGTTGAGCACATGCCCGTAACAGTGGACGTAGATACCGAACGGGGAGCACTCTTCCTGTAGCGTCCACTCATAGCTACTTGAAACTGTACTTTAATCAGTTGTTCACTTGCTAGTTCGTTTCTAATCTGCACATAACTTGTATTCATTCCATTCACAAATTGCACGTGAAAGAGAAAGATTCGCTGAAATAACAACAACGCGACTATTACAAAGATGATATTGACCGAACAACCGAAATACTGCATACTTACAAGTTATTGTGCCTTCTAAATAGAAAGGAAAACTTGTCCTAACGAAACGACAGTGTAACTCCATAACAAAACATGTGCTTTTCGTGGGAAAGAGCGCCCGCGATATTTTGCGTGCGGTCAGCGAAGACCACACCATATAACGTTTATTTTCTGTCTCTTACACTTCCATTCTTGTCGAGAGTCCTTTGTGTACACCGTTCATGTTAGCAGCCCCATCGAATGCTTTACCAACAATGTTCTTTAGGTCAAGATTGAGTTCAGTGATAGAGGATTTCACCAGTTCATACAGTACTTCTCCTTCGGTTGATTTCGTGGAGTAGGAACCAATGAATGCTTCCTTCTTCGTTCCATTCAGCGCGAAACTAAGGCAAAGTAAAACTTGTTCTGTTCTGCTAATGTCTGATGTTTCATCCAAGATGATACCATACCATCCGCTGGCTCGCACATCGTTTGTGATACGCTCGCGAATGAGATCGGCAATGATTTGTAGCAGTTCGTTTTGTATCACGGGAGATGTCCACTGCGCGTGCTTCTGAAGCTGGCTATCGAGTTTATCCTTTAGCCAAGCTATGTCCTTCCACCGCAAGTGAATTAGTTCCAGAAAATTACCTCTATTTACATCACTGCTATTACTCAAACCATCACGTTGTTCATCGTGACCACGCTGGGCGATGTTCTGCTGGGCCGTAAACATGAGACATTCAATGATAACTTTCAGGTAGTCACGATTTTCCTTCACATCTTTCTTGTGTGATTCCTGGAGTTTGCTGAGTATTGAAGTATTTCTCTTCTTATTTGCTCTACTATCAATCCATTTCGCCATGGCCGTTTGATGGTTCTCACTCTTGTGGTGTTTAGTAAGACGCTCTGGCTTCTTCCAATTGTCAAACGTGAAATCGTGGGCATTCAAGTATTTCTGGCATGGGTAGCAGCACGCTTTCTTAGTTTCAAAGTCGTAGCTCAGCCATGGATATCGTTTGTACCAGGCTGGGTTGAAATCTCTAGAAAAAGATTCACTTCCAAATTTTTTTGGGTCGTAGCACTTCAAAATCGGTTGCTCAGGACTCTCATCTATATCACTGGACGTTAGGCAAGTACCACTACATAAATTTGTATCCAATTGTGCTCACCATCCACGATATCTGACTTATCTGGAGCACCATTATCCGTGATAGCTGACTTAAGTGACTTTTCTGGAACACGATTATCTATGACAACTGAAATGGACATATCCCTATCAGTACTATGCACGATGTCAGAGTTAGCACCGTTATCTACAATTTCTGTCGTATCTGGAGCACTAGTACTATTGTCAGCACCATTATCTATGCTTTCCATATCCATGATCTCTGACGTATCCGAATTACCTTTATCCATGATTTCTGATTCATCCGTCAGACCAGCATCCATAGATTCTGACGTAGCTGGAGCACAACAAGTACCACTATTCACTTGAATCACCTCGATTTCTGACTTATCCAGGGCAGTATCTGAAGAATCCACCACTATATCTATACGGCTGTCATTTTGAAGATCTGAGCCAACGTCTTCGGCGTCAATTTTACTGCATTTAACCATATTGGTAATGGTTTCATCGCCGTCAGTGAAACCTAATTGCGATTGATTTGGCGCACGAGAAATAGTAAATTTAACTTTCTTGCCTATATGCTTGGTTCTTGCATGAGCGTCTTGGTACTCGGCAACGATTTCTTTTTTGCATTCGGAGCATTTAACACGATGGCGATAGGCCCGTTTTCGTTTCTGTGGCGCTGGATTCGACATGTCTAATATGGGACAAGGAGAGTTCTACAAGAAAATGCATGCAAGATGCGTATTTGTTTCCACTGTCACGTCACTTTTTACGAAATTACAGGCGTGAATCTCACTGGCTTTACGCACGTAAAGCCCATGGTAAAGCCAGTTAAATTCACACGAGACAGTGGTTGCCTAGCACGTGACCCAGATCTTCTGAAAGTCTCCAGTCGATAATCTACAATATGATTCTAGAAAGCTACGCCGAAATTGATTCTAATAAATTTACAACACCAGCTAGTACAGTGCCCAAAAACAAAAACAAAAAATACAAGTACGTATTTGAACTTATGATCCCCTTTACTAATGACCAAAAGCTCGTCACGTGCTAGGCAACCGCTGTCTCGTGTGAATTTAACAGTTTCCACTGTCACGTAACTTTTTACGAAACTACGGGCGTAAATTTAACTGGCTTTAGGCACTTAAAGCCCATGGTAGAGCCAGTTAAATTCACACGAGACAGTGGTTGCCTAGCACGTGACTCAGATCTTCTGAGAGTCTCCAGTCGATAATCTACGATATTATTCTACAAAGCTATGCGGAAATTGATTCTAATTAATTTACAACACCAGCTAGTGCAGTGCGGTACAGTACAGTACAATGCCCAAGAACAAACACAAAAAATAGAAATATGTATATCAACTTATGACCCCCCTTACTAATGACCAGAAGCTCGTCACGTGCTAGGCAACCGCTTTCTCGTGTGAATTTAACTGGCTTTCCATTTTTAAATTCAGGTAAAAATAGAAATATCTATCTATTTCAATAAAAAACTTGAAAACATCTTTGAAAACTGGCTTTGCCCAAATTTCTCTTGCTGCCCAAAAAATCTGAATTGCCCAAAATTTTGGGGGGGGGGGGCTGCAGCTAAAACTGCAGCTAAAACGAAAGATTCGTCAGCAAGCATCAAAACATGCTCATTCTTGTAAGGAAAAAGATCGGGAAATACAGGAATTAAAACTAAGGGAAAGACATCATGACATTATATTTCGCGATGCCTTACGATACATTTACCGCCCCTATGGAAACCAGTGATATATCTACTATACCAACTGGGATAAAGAAGTCGCAGATTATTACCATTCTGCCTACCACGGTAATAGATTACAGATAAAGAGACAAAATGTAAAACCATATAAAAGTTTATTAATTACAAAAAGGACGCTACAGGTGTTGAATAAAAATGTGTAATATTATAATTGTTTGAATTGTTACTAGTAGTTAACCAAAGATAATCTTCTATAAGAGGTGCTGCTACATCTTCCTCATAATCTACAAAACCCCAAATTATGACTGGTGTGACATTACAAATCTGATTCACAACCATAAAAAAGTGAAATTAGTTAAAAAGTACAACAATTTCACCATCCTTCATATCTAAAAGACACCAGAATGTGAAAAAAAAAAACTCGTCCAGATCCTCCAGAGGAAATCATCCGAAGGGAATTCATTCTAAAAATGTAAAAAATTTGATTTCATAGTAATTACTTGACCACATCGTAGCCAACCATGGAGCTCTCTTTCTTGGATATCATAAAAACAATGTATGAATTCATTTATGTTATACAGTGAAAGAACACGATTTAAAAAATCAACATCTCGAAAATAAATAGCTAAATTAAATTTTTCCATCACTGATAATTCAAATTTTAAATTACTGAAAAACCAATAGAGGGCATCTGTATCCACATAGTTTTGATGTATCTACGAAAGAGAAACCCCATATAAACGAATATGAAAAAGTTGACCATAAAAGTAATTCCATGGGTATGCGATTATTACCAGGTGGTATTTCAAAAAACGGTAACACGGAATTGGGTAAGATATACAAATGTAAATAATGATTCCATAATTGTCTTAGCGTATAAAAACTAAGTCGTTCTTCAGAAACTAATTGTAACCTGAGGTAGAAATTTCTCATAAAACATGGTTGAATTGAAAAATAACACCTGGGAAGAGGTCGTTGAAAATGTCTTCGTAAAGAATGAATTAAATAGTATGTGGCAGTCTTTATAATCGGAAATCTAACTAAAAGTCTACAGATTGATTCTTGAGGTATCTATAAAATAGAAAATAAACGTACTCGCAAAAATAAATTGCTATGACAATAAGATTGGTTTAATCTTCTTGTTTCGTAGATACCCGCATGTATTCCTAACATATCACCTATTACAGTATTTTATAAAAGAACATCAAAAAGTAATTGATAATAAAATGTATCGGGCAATAATTGATGCGTTTGAAAAAAACTATTTTGAAATTCCATAGAAAATTGCACACAAATTACATAATATTCCATTCTATTTATAATAATTCTTAGAGCTTGAAAAAGAGCTCTTAAAGAATTTCGAATAAAATTTGTTTCTTGATCAGTCACATAGAGCAAGCATAAAGTTGACAGGTAATCATGTGGAGGAATCTGAGATCATTGAGAAAAGTCGAATTGAATGACTCTATTGTGTAAAATGTAACAAAAAGAAAAACGAGCTCTCATACAAAATTCAGACTCTCTTCTCCATGTCAATAAAATTTAAAGAGCAAAAAAATTACATAAAACGTTCACGAAACATATAATGGCAATAACAAATAGAATGACAATTTGAATGCGCAGGGAAACGCAATTGAAACCTAAAAAATTGGTATAGTACTCTTCTAATGTGTTGAAAAAAGCTACTAAAAACTCAGCAAAAGGAAAGTATCGAATTAAAAACAATCTGCGTATATGAGCTGAAACGATTTCATCTGTATAGCGTTCAAAATACGTGTTGAAATCTGGAGGTTTATAAATTTCAATTCGAATCAAATCATGTTCCACATCCAGTCTAATACGAATATCCCGTATATCGGTGATCAAACGAAGTAAATAATTGCTCATAAACTCATGATCGACAATAAAATACGATGCTTCGAATACGTCATGCATCTTAAGATGAATAGAAAAAAGGCTGTCTTAGTTTTTAGATTTTTCTTAAATGTTCACGCAAACAACGATTCGTAAAATAAAAAAACACACATACCTGTTGAATCCTGGCTTCGAGCGCTCCAGGTTGAAGCAATGCTTCCAAATCTTGGATGGCCTGTTGTCTTTGTACCTCTCTGATTGCCAAATCCTCGTTTATCAGTGGATTTCTGAGTGAAATTGCGGCTTGGGTAGCAAATTGTCGTCGGCAGTGTCCACATGCAGCCAATGCATGGGCATGTTGCTGGTAACATGCACGGTGAACTTGTCTTGTACAGCATGGTGTCGCTGCAGCATCATACATGTTTACTGTGATTGGAGTCAAACAGATGAAGCAGTCGTAGGGCGCTCTTTGTTCTTCGACATCCTGACGTCTTAATCGTCGTGATCCTCTAACAGGAGTCATCTAAAAAAGAAAGGCGAAGTAAAATGTTAAAAAAGCAAATCAAGCATATAAAAACGAATAGCAGTCACAAACTTACCTTGAGTCACACTTGTAGTTCACGTAGAAAAATCACACACGAGTCAAAACTCTTCTTACTGATAGTCAAAACTATCGTCGTTGTCTACAGCCTAAAAAATTTGTAAATTCAAATTCCATAAAAAACTACTATAAAGCTTGCGCCATCATCTCAAAAGTTGCAGATGTAGAGGAAGAAGTAGTAAAGTGTAAAGTTGTAGATTAAATTGAGGGATCGAGTGATGGCGAAACAAAGTTAGACGAAGTGGAATATGGGGATGATGGTATTTCGGATGCTGCCTGGGGCTGCTCAAACCCTTTGGGAAATCGTCGCCAATCAGAAGTCAAAGATTTTTGTTCAGTCGTTGTCTGCAGCCTAAAAAATTTGCAAATTCAAATTCCATTGAGGGATCGAGTGATGGCGAAACGAAAGTTAGACGAAGTGGAATATGTGGATGATGGTATTTCGGATGACCTTTGTAAACGAAATTGGAGAGGTCTTTGAAAATCAATATGGTAACGATGTGATAGACTCGCAAATGGTTCAGTTTGGTCGTGAATTGGATCAACAACAATTAGATGCCCTTGACACTAGTTTGCCCTAAGGACCTTTTTTATTTCTTAGATCTATAAAAGAAACACTCCATCGCAAAAAAGTTACCGACCAGTGGCAAAACAAAACATTGACAGATACAGATACAGATGAAGTGTTTTTAAACTTTAAAGCCGAGAAATTTGATCACCATGTACAAACACAATGCTTTACTTTCAGTGAAATCATTAATGGAAATGGCGAAGAGCGATTTGGTGCATATATGAACCAACTGGCCAATCAACTTAACTCGAATGAATCTTTTAGCCCTGAGGATAAGTTCGCCGTCGACGTCACTATCGTGCCGAAACCAAAGGAAGGTGGTAAATCTAAATTAACAAAGGGAAAACATAATATTAAAGATGTTCTCCACAACAAACAATGTGTTACCGATTAAAAATTCAGAAGACAACCTTTGCCTTGCAAGAGCCATTTGTCTAACAAAAGCCCACTTACATAAAGATGATGGTGCAGAGGGAAAGCGTTACTATAAGAATCTTGAAAATAATCCGAATGTGCTCACCCGATGCGCCAAATTCCTTCACAAGCAAGCTGGTGTGCCCAAAGGCCCTTGTGGGCGTGCCGAATTAGAAAAGTTTCAACAGTACCTGGCGCCTGACTACCAGTTGAAAGTGATGACCACATGCTATCCATATTGCATTACGTTTCAAGGAGATGTAGAATCGTCAAAGTACATCATCCGCCTCCTGTATCAACCAGAGTACGAAAGTGATATGGGTCATTACCATGGATGTACGTCTTACTTCGGATTCCTGGAAAGATCGTATTTTTGTGACACGTGCAACAAAGGCTTTGACCATGACGACCTCCGCAACCACCCACGTGAGGGCTGTCGCTGTAAAGCATGCAAGCAGACCGAGTGTGGTACCAGACCTCACGAACCCACTCTCCACTGCCCAGCCCGCAACCACCATTTTGACGGTCGGAACTGCCTCGCCTTACACCGTGCAAAAAAGCATCTGTAAGATCCTAGTACGATGCGGTAGCTGTTGCAAACAATTTCAGCCAGACCCCCAACAGCTACACCGTTGTTACTTTGGAAAATGCTCTATCTGTAAGGAGTATGTCGACCTTAGAGAAAACAAATGCTACATTCAGCCCATCCCTAAACAAGAAAATTCACCCGAACGGAAAACGAAAGCCAAACTCAAGAAGCATTTAAAAATAAACCCTGAGGCATCCGTGTACGAAGAACCACCCATCTTCGTCTACGCGGACTATAAAGCCATGATCAGTGAAGACGGAATACACCTACCCATTTGCGTCTGTGTTCAAACTTCCGAAAACAACACCTCCTACACGTTTTATGGCGACGATTGCAGTAAACAGTTTCTGAAATGCTTGACGAACCTTACCGAAGATCATTCCATGAACCGCGTGAAGTAATCTGCATATTCCATAATTTAAAAGGGTATGATTCCATTTTCATACAGCATCAGCTTGTGATAGACGGAAGAAAATTCGATGGGATGATTCCTAACGGCACAAAGATGATTTCTTTGGAAGCTGTAACACCCATTTGATCTCAAAGAAGAACTGCTTGCATACTTTCACTCAGATGTTGCGTTACGGAAAGCTGGATGTCAAATTTATCCAAGAATTTAAAAGCATCGGCAGTTTCAATCCTGTGGAAAAATGCGTTACGATCGCTGCAGCGTGTAACCGTTATTGGAGGAGGAAACATTTACCCTTAGATCTCATAGCAGTAAACCTTCATCAGGGTGGCGAGGTGCCTGTACGTCACAAATTCATCCAAGAATTTAAAAGCATCGCCGTTACCGTCGGAGTTCCGCAGAGATCCATCCTCGGCCCGCTTTTGTTTATCATGTACATAAACGATTTTCCTCTGTCTCTGAAACACTGTAAAGTCCCTCTCTATGCCGACAACTCTGTTATTTACTGCTCTGATACCTCAGCCGATAACATGCAATCCAGACTGAACGAGGATCTTCAAGTACTCACCCAATGGTTCTGCACAAACAAATTACCTATCAATGTGTCAAAGTGTAAATTTATTTTACTTGGCCACTCTTCACGTCCTGGAGATTTCTTTTCTCTGTCGTTATCTATAAGTGGTGAAGATCTTGATTCGTGTGGATTCGTGTGGATTGTATCTTGGGGTCACACTGAATCAGCGTCTGTCTTGGGAAGATCACGTCTCAAACATTGCCTCCAAATACGTAAACGAATATCAATTTTATCTAGAATTAAATACATGCTACCTCTATCTGCAAGACTAACTTTCTATAAACCATGATCAAGCCCACTTTTGAATACAATAATATTTTGCGGGGAGACAAAAGAAATACAGTTCACATGGACACTCTTCAAATACTTTAAAACAGAGCTGCAAAGATAATCCTTGGCAGAGACGTAAGAGATTCTGCCACACAAGCTTTGAAAGATCTCAACTGGTTAACTTTAGTCAAAAAGAGAACTAGCGACCGATGTATTTTTGTTTACAAATGCTTGAACAACCTCATTAGCCTGACTTTGGTTTTAAATCATTTAAAAATAAACATGATTACAATACTAGAAACAAAAAAACCTTGCAATTGAATTATCTAAGACAAACGGGGTTTTTTTCAAAACTGTCCCACACTGTGGAAAGGACTGGAACACCATCGACTTGGAAACTAGAAACACTGACAACCTCATTGCCTTTAAGAAATCAATTGTTAAGATTTTTTGTTAACATTGTATTTTTCTATTTCGCATATACCTTTGTTATATTTTACAATCTTTTATATATAATATTAGATATCCTCATTATCTATGTATTTATATCTATGACATTTAGCTAGGACCTCCCTAGAAATCATGTTTGTACGAGTGGAGCATCCTCATTAAAGATCATTATGAATCACTCCAAAGCATCATTGGAATGGTTGATGTGACAAGAATACAATTCCGGAAGTTGAATTCAGCACGCATGTAACGGAGGAGAGTATCGTATCCCTATTGGCTCTACCTCGTACTTCATGGATGGTTACGATACACAAACCCACACAGTCTACGAATTTCACGGGTGCCTCTATCATGGTTGTCGTCCCTGTTACACCAATCGCAAACAAATTCCGTTCTGTTCCAATGGGTTGACCGTAGAAGCCTTACGCCAACAGACCAGTCAGATAATCCAAAACCTCCGCGGTAAAGGGTATCAAGTGGTGGAGATCTGGGGGTGCGAATGGGAGAAAGAGAAGAAAGAAACACCAGCCATTACCGAATTTCTAAAAGATTTGGATATTGTCCCTCCTTTGAAACCAAGAGAAGGTTTTTACGGTGGTAGAACGGGCGCTGCCTGTCTGTGCCATAAAGTAAATAAAGAAGAAAGAGAAGAAATCCGCTACATCGACGTAACCTCTGAGTACTCCTACGTAAACAAGCATGGTACGAACCCTGTAGGCCACCCGGAAATCTATTTGAAACCAGAGAATGAAGACCCTCGAGGTTTCTTTGGCTTGATGACCGTGGACGTCACCCCACCTGCTGACCTGTATAACCCAGTCTTACCTTACCATTAGAAAATTGGAAACTCCTGCAAGCTGACCTTCCCGTCATGCCGTAAGTATGTAGAAATAGAGACACAGAAAGAACACATGCTGGAATGTCACTATCACTGCCCACAAAGTGATGAAGAAAGAATGTTACAAGGCACCTGGTGTACCCCAGAGATACATAAAGCAATCGAAAAAGGATACCGACTCGTCCGAATTCATGAAGTATGGGATTTCCCGCAGCGTCGAAAAGGTCTGTTCCAACCGTACGTGGACACCTGGTGAAAAGTTAAGCAAGAGAGCGGTGGCTACCCAAACTGGTTGCGGACTGATACGCAAAAAGAAGAATACATTCATCGCTATGAAGAAAAAGAAGGCATCCGACTCGACCCTACCAAGATCGTCAAGAACCCTAGAAGAAAAGCCACGACCAAACTGATGCTTAAGAGCGAATTTTTTTTATCACCGCGTGGGAGGTGGCACATGATCGGAAAAATCACTATCCTCATATTTCGCTCAGAGATACCTTAGGGTAAGTCTATAAACGTGATATAATTTTTTTGTTCAGAACTGTTTTTATTTTCTAGAAAATCACCAAACACTGTATCGAGCCCCAACCGCCATAAAATGGCCGAAATGAAGTCGACGAGTAGGGCAACAAAACCTTTATTCCTCAAAAGTGCAAAAGGAAGCAAGTCTTTCTGAATTTTACCTATTTGTATACGAGGTATTAAAAAATGATTTGAATCTAATAACGGGCTTGTTGACATAACTATGAATTATTGGCGAATATTTGAAAATAGCCAAAATTTGATTGATTAAAAATTACATTTTGGAGCAGTTTTTCAATAAAAATTTTTCCTACCTGGTATAACTCGGAATCACTTAAGATGAGCATTTTTACAAAGTGGAAAGAATGTTCTTTCCATGGATATAAAAATTAATTTGGGGCTCTTAATTACTGTGAAGAAGTAGCCCGGTCTATTTAGTGCAAATCGCAATGCCGCCGTGTAAACAACCACAGATAATCCAATTAGGCTTTTTATTATCGAAGCCATAATTCCAACAAAATCTTATCGCTTTGACCTATACTAGATTTTAAACTGGATTTCTTAAGCTCACCTGGCGAAAAACACTTTTCTAAGATTGGTTCCTTGCCTCAATCTTGTCATAAAGAGACTTGACGACAGCTTCGATAGTACAGCACTACAGGCGGTGTATATCACAGTGAAAACATCTCACGAAGGTTCCTGCCGGAAACGTCGCATTGCTGGACAGTTATAACCATATTTCAGCTTGGAACACTCACATTTTACAAGTCTTCCTTTCACAATAAGAATGAAAGTTTGTTTTTTATAGAACGAGCCAGAGCATCCTGACAGATGAAATGAATCATTGACGTTCGTTTTTTGCGATCGTGTCACGCAATAACATGTCACTCGATAGGAGGCTCGGTTATCCCGTATTTTTTATTTCCGGGAAAAAGTTTTAAATCCAGAATTTAAAATTTTTAAGCGCGATACCACTCATGCGTCACCCTAGACTGCTAAATGAATTAGGTATATGTTACTACAGCATAGAGGAAATTTCACTGCAATAATTTTTAACGACGTAAAAAAATGTGTTATCCTATTTTGTAAATTGTGACGGCTTGCAGGGTAGACAGGTGCGGGAGTGGAAAAATTAAATTGGGAGTAGCTTTCTAAAATACTCAGCGCTAAAAAAATAAATTAGATTAGGCACAGTTTCTCACCATATAATGAGCGTCGCGCCATAACTTTTCCAAAGCAAACTAAAATGGTGTTTTCGTTTGGCCGCCGATTTTTTTAAGAGGTGAGCGTACCAAATGGAAATCAATTGCTCCTTTCAAAGATTAGTTGGGGGATGCTGCTCCCAAGATAAGCGAAGTCCAGTTGCAGGAAAAGCTTCTCTTATAGTCCCTCTGCGCTTATGTGAGAAAGACATCTCAGCACACAAACAGGCTGTGGGCGTGAATGATGTTGAATCGGAAGTTGATCTCATTTTAGCACGGGCATCGATATTCACGTTGCCTTGCAATATTTCGGACATGACTATCTGCCCAGCCCATCGCTCCTCTTTGGGCATTGGATGGCGAAGAGGCTCGCAACGGTGCCGTGTTCCATCCGAATTATCGAGGCATGCCAAGGAAGGGAAATCACGAAAGGGTGACCGTGGTATAAACAAAGCGCTTTCGAAGGCAATCCTTCGACGCACGGGAATATTCCTCCCTGTTGGGTCTGGTAAGTCTTTGTAATGTTGTTAATTTACAATAGGAAGCTATGACAAACAGGACAAGAAGTTACTAGTAAAAACAAAATTGGCACATTTAAATTAGTACTACCACTGAAGCATACATTTAACCAGCCATTTAATTTTGTAGCGTGAGCTAGTTTAATCAAATTATTTTTTATCAGTGTGTTTTTTTTTTGTTAACTTCTTGTCGCCAAAAACTAATACACCTCTTTCCTTATCTCACCATGCGGCTTGGGACCGAGATATTTATTTTGGTCAGGGGCTCAGGGCCACTCACTACACCGCAAAACCGCTCTTAGGGAAGAGTGATGGATAGATTTAGGGGACGTTGTTGCGTTGTTGCGTTGTTGGTGCGAGGGGACGGGCAGGTGATTTGAAAAGCGAAAGGGAGGGTAGGATTAAAAAACTGTTTTTGTCTATGTCAATAGACCATTTTACAGTTCTGTGATATTTAACCAGGCCTCTGTATGAAAGCGAGGTTTGTGTTGACCTTGAGACGATAGAGATCAAAAACTGGTTAACATAACAATTAAAGTATTTGCATATCAAAAGTAACAGGGTTTGTATCAAAACAAGGTCAACTTGAGCCTCGCTTCCACTTAAAGGCTTGGTATCTAAGCACGCAACTGTAAAAGGGCCTATCCAAGCCCGAAAATTCCCCCAGGCATTCTCATTCTTATTCATTTTCGTTCGTTCGTTCGTTCGTTTATTCATTCTCATTCCCCTACCCCGGTGTGGGGCCTTTTCCAAAGACGATCAGCCCGGTTAGTGAAGCATTGTCAAAAACAACGTGATCTTTTCAGTCAACTCTCGTTACAACGAACACCCTCGGGACGTCGTTTAGTGTCCGTAATACAGTGGAACCCCGATATAACGATCCTCGATAGAACGATATTCCCGGTATAACGATGAATATTCTATGTCCCTGCAAATGTTACAGTAAACTGTATGGGACAGAACCCCGATATAACGATCTTCGATATAACGATATTCCCGATATAACGATGAGAATCAGTACACAGTACACAGTACACAGTACACAGTCACAATTTAAGCAAAACATTGAATTTAATACAGTAACCGAGCATCTGTAAAGTTTCCGTCGACAGCTTCTCTTTGACTCCTTTTATCCCGATATAACGGTATGTTTAGTTATTTTTCAGCATTATCGTTATATCGGGTTTTCACTGTAGTGAGAGTCCGTAATGCTTGGAGTCATTTCCAGACAAACCTCTTTTGTCGGGGATCTGAATTTTGTTCGTAATAGCGAATGTCCGTAATAGCGAGGTGTCCACAAAGCGAGAGTTTAATGTAAATGGTTCTGCCCCAACACTGTACAAATATTTGCACTGTTGTTTCCGTGTGCAAACGAGAGATGAAGCAAAGAAGAACGCCGGGAATCAAAAGAGTTGCAGTTTTAGATGTTAAAAAGCGATTGAAGCTGTTGCAGGCTCCAGTCGTTCTAATGAAGTTACATTTATTTGGGAATGATTACTTGTATGCGTGAGCTTGCCTCACCGTGGGGCATTTTCCACATTTTCAAAATCAAAAGACAAATGCCCCGGGGGATGAGCAGGCGGTATTGATAAATTGGTTTTACTTTACGAACAGTTCGATTATAATTTATCATTTTTTTGTGTGTGTAGGAATTTGTCGTGACTGCAGGACGGCCATTGTTCCGGATACCAAGATAACGGTTACAGAAGCCTGTGGCTCAAGCATAGCTGGCATTGCAAAAGGAATTGAAAATGTTTCTTTGGTGAGCCACTTTAGTGACAGTACGTAGTAGTTTCAGTAGTTTTCACATGTATTTTCGCGGTGAAAGGGCATTATCAATTGCGATTTTAAGAAAATTTGTGATTAAACATGACCTGTTTTCTGATAGACACCCACTTGTGTAGACTTGCATAAACTTACTATGGGTTGTATCTTATTTGATCACGTTGAGATTTCAACGCAAGGAGTTATTCAGCAGTTTCGTTTGTTTGGCAAAACAATCTCCATCATTTATGAATAGCACTATCAATATTAAATAATTACATTCAAGCCGATGCACGACATTGGAAGTCAATTCATGTAAGTTCAGACCTCCTACTTGTGCTGGCCTCCATCTCGTTTTTTCTATTACTTCTCACCGTGCCTGATGTTTCAGAATTTGAGCGCCAGTGTAGCCCAGTCAAATAAAGCATTTGGAATTAAACACGTTATGACTTTCTACCAAGTTACATACTTATGTTTTCTTATTTTTCTGAGAAAAACAGAAACGCAAAGTAATACTAACAGTAAACACCCGCATACAAGAACACGTGGATACCAGAAAAAGAAAGCTGGTCTAGAAAAACTAAGAAAATTCGTGTTTACTTATATCATTGATAGTATTTATTTACTATTAATTTGAATTTTTTTTTTTAGTGCAAGTAATGAAACATTGTATGCTAATTACACCTCTAGTGATGTAAAATGTATACTATTTCTGAAAAAATTTTAAGAACAATTTAATAACACTTTCAGGCTGATTTCCACTAAACACACATCAAACAAAAACACGATCAGCCAGAAGCCCGAAATCAATGTTCTTATATTCAGGTGTTTACTGTACACGCGTGGTTACATTTGAAGGACGAGGGGGAGGATTACGCTGGTGTTCCTCACAGTACTCCCATAACACCAGGAGGAAGTTTCTACATTCCTGAAAGTGACGACGCATGCACTTCTTTTGAAGTAACGTTCGATGATCTTCGCGGTGCACAGGCAGAACACAAACCTGCTGACGCCCTTAATGAGTATTTGCAATCCCGAGATACCAGTCCAGTCCGTTCTAGGCTTAACACTCCGTGGGAGATCGCAAGTGAGAGAACAAAGCGTTACTACATACGAAAAGCTGGACAAGGTGTGACCGCCATAATGGAAGATATCGCGCCCAAAAGTCCTGCTGAGTTGTTCCAGGCAATGTGTTCCTCGCAAGCCATCCAAAGAACTTTGTCAAGTGACGAGGAAACTGAGACAACTGTCGATGAAACCCTACTAGGAGCGCTTGCTGATTGCTACCACGCTGCTGGATGTTGGGAGACGCGTCGGCAAATTCTGTCTATCATGGCCGATAAAGTGTCATTTAAGAAGTTGCGACTTTGGATACCAGACCTGTCAAGTTGTCGTTTTACCGAGGCCAAACGTCATTGCCTGACACACGGGAGAGGAGCACCTGTATCGTCAGCGCAAGCGCCTGTGATGCGTGTTTCCTTTGCACAAATAGATCACTTTATCACATTTATCACAAGTGCACACATTATCCAGGACTTGCCCTTCGGAGACAATCAAAGTTCCCAACGTTATACGAACCATGGTTCCAGAACGATTAGTAAAGCAGTACCTCGCGTATTGTGAGGAGACAGGATTTAAAGCCCTCAGTCGCAGCACCCTATTGCGTATCTTAAGTGTCTGCGCCACGTCTGTGAGAAAGTCAACCTTTTAAAGCAAGAGAGGATAATTTTTTCCTCTCTTGTTTAAAGTTTTTAAGGACTTTTCAGTAATTTGTGACGGTTTTCTGAGGTTTTTGAAAAAGTTTGAAATCCAGGATGGCGGATGGCGGCTGTTTGGACATTATGTCATAATTGTCACAAGATATGACGTCATGATACCACGTGACGTATACCAAAATATAGACCCTAAGTTTCATTGTCATTGCTCAAATATTCTGGAAGTTACGGAGGGGGGGAGGGGCGAATCCGCACCCCCGGTCTGAATAGGGTTAAGAATGTTAAAATTACGAAAATAAGGGGAGGAAAGTAGGAGGGAATAGGGCAGCTTCACCCCTCGCCGCCGCTTGCTGGCTGTTTCTCAATTCGCATTAAGGTTATCACGTCGCAGGCTAGGAAACGAAACAGACTGCTAGCAGTTAAAAATTCAGAAAAAAGTCTGAGCTGGTAGGCCTGGTACCCAAGCGCCATTGTCATAGAGCCTGGAAATAGAAGGCGATGGTCACAAATGATACGAAACATGTGGAAAAGGGAAAACCACCAAAACTGCGAATTCTATGCAGCGTTGAGAAATTCCGTTTCTTAATCCTTTTTTTTTTTTTTTGCAGAAATAGTGTTTTTCTTAGATTTAAGGTAAAATTTCTTATTTATTACTTTACTAAACACCGGAGTGCAAGCTCAATTATCCACCAACGAAAATGCTGTTCATCGAGTGGTTTTGCCTTTTAAAGATCAAAAGTGAGTTGACGCAGTGAAAAGGCAATTATCAGATCTAAGCAAAAAAATAGATCACCCTCTTCAACCTGTGTTCAAGAGTCGCAAAATATGTGAAGGCCTCGAGATCTGCGAGCCCAAACCACCTATAATTAGCCAACAATGCGTTGTGTACAATTGTAAAACCAAAACCAACCGAAAATTAGCCGAGTCCGTCGGGCTGCTCTGAAGATAGGAAAAAAGATGGCCTAATTAAAAAAAATCTTAAACAACGTATTTCACGCACTTTATTGCGAATTGATGGATGACTTTGCGGCACGCTAGCTTTTACACAATGGAATAAATTAATACAAAGAGAACTGTAGTTTGCCACTGATTCAATTTTTTAGAAGTTGGATATTTGTCAAATAACTCCCCTGATTGCTGTACTGAAAGTAATTGTACTGATCGAAATACGTCTTGCACTAAAAATCCGAATATTCTGTGGCTTAAATTCACAGGTGCATGTGTCTAAAAGCTCGTCAGTGCCCGATCATTGCAGACCGTTTGCCTTAAGCGACCCCAAGGATCCTGCATATCAGTCTGTCTGCGAGCATGACCACAATGACGCATGTGACCGCTGCGACCTTACTTCAAATTGAGGCAGGCCTGGCGGCCCAGACTGAAAATCTATCATCCGTGGAAAAGGAAGATCTTCTCTTCAGGGTGAAGCAAGCCAAGAAAGCCATCTGGGCTTGGAAGTCACACTTTCTTCGCTCTGTCAACCAAGATTCTGCTCGAGTGGAGCTTTTGGATCAACTAGATGAAACTTCAGTGCTGCTGGTGCAAGATTGGGCCATGAAATATTTGCCCAGAAAGTACAGAGAGAGCCAGACCGACTGGTTTGGGAAACGTGGTATCCCCTGGCATGTGACAGTAGCAACAAAGCGCGAAGGGGATGAGATGCAAATGCTTACATTTGTACACATTTTTAAACCGTGCAATAAAGACAACTGTGCTGTACTCGCAGTGATGGCAGATGTTATACGGCAGCTCAAGATCACAGTACCCAATCTAGCGTCCGTGTATTATCGGCAGGACAATGCCGGATGTTATCACTGCGGAGCAACCATTGTGTGCGCAAGAGTCCTCGGCGAGCAGTTTGGCGTATCCATAAAGCGCCTTGATTTCTCGGATCCCCAAGGGGGAAAAGGGCCTTGCGATAGAAAGGCTGCTACGATCAAATCACATATGAGAGTTCACCTAAATTCTGGTAGCGATATTGAGACTCCCGCTCAGATGTCTGATGCAACTCTTTCCTCCGGGGGAGTGTCCGTGGTTAACGTTACTCAGTGTGAATCAGCCACACCTCTTGAGCAAATTTTTGAAGGTCGAAGGTGTGAGTTTGATTAACAATGTTGAGTATAGCGGTGACAGAATTCGCGTGTGGAAGGCGTACGGTGTTGGCCCTGGGAAACTTTTAAAGTTGGAGAATCCACCGTTGTCGGAGCTTCCATCACTCACAAGTCCGCAAACACATTCCAGTACCTTCACTTCAGTCAAGGTAAGAAGAAAAAACGTACAGCCTCAAGTTCATGAGGATCAAGTAGACCAAGAGGCTAACGCTGAATTCCTAGAAAATCTGACAGGTGTAGAAGAAGGACTTTTTGTTTGTCCTGAGGAGAGCTGCACACGGACATTCCTAAGGCATTCTTCAATGCAGCGACACTTAGATTGTGGTAAACACGAGCGAGCTCTAGAGCGCGAGACCTTAACAGACAGAGCTGTTAAGGTGTATGGAGAGAAACTGGAGGGACAGACCCCTTCAGTACCAGAGGTTATTGCAAACAGTATACCTGACATCATACCAGATTCGTGCAGAAAAGTACCAATGGGCTGGGCACTAAGGGCTGGTGCCCAACTAAAGAGATTTACTTCCAGCCAGAAGGCCTATCTTACTGCCAAATTTAAACTGGGGGAACAATCAGGACAGAAAGCCGACCCTGCATCAGTTGCACGTGCGATGGTAAGCGCCAAAGAAGCGAGTGGTAACCACCTGTTTACAAGCGACGATTTTCTTACAGCAAATTAAATAGCTGCCTTCTTTTCCCGACTGGCTGCAAAAAAGACCCTCCAGGATGACGAGGAAATGTCTGATGACGACTTGGAGGCCGCTGCAAGTGACACAAGAATCCAAGAGCTGTCGAATACGGCTTTAAACGAACTGGCGCTTAGACACCCTATCACATATGATGCGTACAATCTTTGTGAAATGGTTAAAGAGCTTTTCCATTTCAGTGCTGAAGGATATTTGCTTATTTTTTAGCATTGATATCAGCGATATCTCCGTTCATCGTAAGCAGCCTTACGTGAGCAAGATCGAAGCCCTTTGTTTTAGCTGTACCTGTCAGCAGTGACGAACTACATGTAGCTTGAATATTGGTTTCATTGACCAGGAAAACACCTAAAGTATATGACACTGTATTCTTTTCCTTTCTTTCTTTCTTTTTTTGGTTTATAAAACCCATTCAGTCAGCTGGTATGGAAGAACTTCCTGATTTCTTGAATCTCCGAGGGTACGCCGCCTCTGTCTTGTCGAGAATTCGGGATCTCAACGAATGGCCGATTAATTGTTTGATTAAGGGACGGGAAACAACTTTTTCCGAGTTCGAGTTGAGAAAACTGTCAAGTTTCTAGCGATGGCCATTATCATCGTAGCAATCAAGGTACAAAATCGAAAGGTTTAAATTGATGAGCACGCTATCGTAAAGAAAATTTAAAAAAAACAACAACAACAAAAACAAAAAACAGAGATTGTGTAAGTTCAAAGCTTTAAAAAATGTAATTGTATTGACCTACATTTAGGCGATATCAAATATATATCAAATAGGGTTCCACCACATGTATATGCAACCACCAAAACAATCTAGCTATTTGAGTCTACACTCAGGTGAATCCTTATAATCACTGTCGTAGTCATAGTTGAATTGCAAATCAAACTTTATACCCGTGTCCACTTCATTTGTACCCTCTTGCACAGCAACAGTCATGATCTCTTAAAACACTGACAGAATGCGTCGTTCATACCACTCCAAAAGCTACCACCTGTTTGATTCACAAGTAATCGACGTCTCTTTTTTAAAGGGTTATCCAGTTTACCCAACTCTCTCAACATCACTCTATTTCTTGAGTTTGGCAACGGTGAGCGGTGACAAAAGGTATCTTTTTCTTCAACATGTTCAACGTGAACTCACTGTTGGCATTGATTTGATCTTTACTTTTTTCCATACGACGCCTTCTATTTTTCTCTTGTAAAATATATTTTAAAAAATCCACATTTCGCTTGAAACTACTAATCATCGCTTTTTCTTTGTAATAACGTCTAAGCCTTTTTTAGCCCCAAACGATGCAGCTCCTTCAAGGGCACCTAAACCTAATGCTTTACCTCCAGCAATGAGGGCTGGAATGAGTGCCGCTAATAGTAGGATACCTCCTTTTTGTCCTCTTTTGGTTACTCTTCTTTTCACTCTTCTTCTCCTTTGGGTTGTAGGCATACTGCGCTTATAATCAGGCATCTTTCTTATTTATCTCACTCTGTAACAGCGTACACACCCTTCGTGCCTTGGTACAAGTGACTTAAAAGTCTTGTAGAATCTCTACTTGCAGGGTGTACGTCAAATAACAAATAACCATAGGGTCTGTCGGTACATGCATCATATATGTCCATGACAGGTAGCCACTTGGACGGGTATATCTGTAGAAGTAAGCTGCGCAATGCCACTTTATCTCTAGGATTTTTAAAGGCAATAATGTATTGCGCATTCCTAGAGATGGTCTTGGCATATTTTCCTTGAGGGAACATATCTTGGCAGAGATAACACACGGTGACATTCATGTGGTGAGAATATTGAGTGAAAAGATTAAGAACAAGTCTCTGTAAGAATCAAACATCTTGGCAAATGAAAATTTTCAACCCCCCTTCAAATTTTGCATGCAGTTAGGCACTCAGGGGGATGCACAAAAATGCCCTTTTTAAAGGTCGCAGCACTCTTGTTGCCATGGTAACAACGGCTGCTTGTTCGAGGCTTGGAGCCTCATTTTCATACAAAAACGTCCCAAAAAAAGAGTGAAATGTTTATTTCTCTATCTCAAGCTAAATACAACATTACAAATTGGCACTTCTACCATACATAGTGACATCAGTCGTCTTCACTTTGACTCATTCAATTTTCCCTGAGAGTGAATGTGAACACACCAGTAGATTATTCATCTCGGTACAATACGGTCATTTTTGTTGTCTTTTTTGTCAATCTTTTTTGACGGAGTAGGAGTCATGGCGGTCAGACGTTTCTCAAATAGTTCCCGGAAAGTTATAAAGTTTCCTAATATTATCTGTGTGATACTTGTAATATCGCATTGGAGATGTCTTTTAATCACACCAAGTCATGATCTTGCACCATCTGCAACGTTAGGAACTCTGGCTGACTGGACAGATATCAACTCTTCGACAAGCATTAGCAAATTGGCCAGCTGCCATCTTGGTTCATTATCGTGTTGCCGACGTTGCATTACTACCTGTACACAATTTCGTCGCAAGGGCTTTTTTAGGCCTGTAGCGTATTACTCCAATTCGAATGCGATTTTTCGGCCGGAGCTGTTAATCATTTGCGGGGATGTCGATGTAAATCCAGGACCTGTGAGTAAACGAAAGCAAGCAAGGTCTACTGCTCCAACGTGTCCTGTTTGTGAGAAAGCAGTTGCAAAAAATCATAAACGCTTTATCTGTTGGATATGTCACGATATGATGCATGTTAAATGTTCAAACTCTATGGCTGATTTTCGAACTTTCTCTGCTTCATCGCCCGTTTCGTGGACTTGTAATCGATGTGCTTTCGCATCATTACCATTTCTCAACGACAGCTCACAAGATTCTCATTTTGGTGTTCTTGAAGGAGAAGAAGGGGACTCCAGCTTGCTTTCTTCATTATCGCCCACTCCAGTCGAATGGTATAAAGAAAATATTAAAGGCTATTACAAGAGAAAACTCTCGATTGGCCACCTTAACACAAACAGTATCATTGGCAAAATAGATGAGATTTTGGATCTACTAAATGAATGCCGTTTTGACATTCTCTTAATCTCTGAAACGAAGATTGACAAGTTTGTTTCCACAAAGTTATTATCCAACCCACATTACCGTGTCATCAGGAATGATAGAAAAAGGGGTGCCGGTGGTCTATTAGCTTATATTCACAATTCTTTAACTGCGAGAAGACAACTCAAGCTTGAACCAACTGGTGTAGAATCTATTTGCCTCAACGTAAAGGGGAATACAAATACATGGTTTTTCGTTTGTGCCTGTTATCGCTCTCCAAGTGAGTCTTGTCACTGGAACGAAATTATAGTAACCGGAGACTTCAACTTTAATCTTCTTGATGCGACGAATGCAAACTGCAAACTCATCAAGATATTCCGGGATGCAGGCCTGAAGCAATTAATTAACACTGCAACGCGAGAAGACAAGAATACACATACTTTACTAGATCACCTCTATACAACCCACGAAGATAGAATCAGCGAAATTATTGTTCCAGTCTATGGCCTAAGCGACCACTATCCAATTTGCTTCACGCATAAATTTGGCAGAGGTAAATGCAGTAAAAACCATCACGAAGAAATTACGTACAGAAACTTTAAGAACTTTTCAAAAGAAAATTTTGTTCATGATCTAGCGGCCGTGCCTTGGGAAACTCTTGACGCCTATGCTGAAGTGGACAAAAAGCTAGAATGTTGGAATGCTTTGTTTATGGATGTGTTAAACAAACATATTCCATTGGTCACCCGACGGGTGAAAAACAAACAAATCCCAGGTTGGATGAATCGTGACATCATTAGGCAAATATGTGTCAGAGACAAACTTAAAGCACGTGCCAAACACTGTGCGCTGGCGAGAACAATGTATAAAAGAACCAGGAATCGAGTTGTCAAATTAATTACTAACGCAAAGTCCAACTATTTCAGAGAAAAGATTATAGAAAATAAAGACAACACAAGAAATCTGTGGAAACTGTTAAAACAATCAGCACCGATCAAACCCATCCCAAAAGCACCCACTGCTATTTTAGTTAATGGTGAACACGTCACGGATCCAGCCAAAATAGCTGACGCATTTAATGAATACTTCACCTCGATAAATGCAACAACTGTACTACCTGATTACGGAAACTTGGCAACCTCACAATCTGAGCTTGATATCCTCTTACAGGACTTTGTTAACAGTCATATACCGCCCTCTTCACAAGATAAATTTTGTATCCCACCTATTACCAAGGAAATTGTTGAAGCAGACCTGAGCAAAATTCCTTCAAACAAAGCAACAGGTCTAGATGGTATCAGTTTCCGTGTGCTGAAAGAAGCTCTCCCAGTAATATCTTCAAGCCTCGCGCTTATTTACAATGCTAGCATCAGTAATGGCGTTTTTCGTGCTGCCTTTAAGATAGCTAAAGTACTACCACTCCATAAGAAAGACTCGATACAAGAGAGAGGCAATTACCGTTCCATATCTGTTCTACCTATACTCTCTAAACCGCTAAAAAGACACATAGCATCCGCCTACTTACGGTATCTAACTTCGAAGAATCTACTATACAGTAACCAGTCCGCTTACCGCCCATATCACTCATGTGAAACTGCTCTGCTTAATATTACCGACAACTGGTTGAATGCCATGGACAACAGTGAACTCGTTGGTACTGTCTTTTTAGACCTAAGCAAGGCCTTCGACTTAGTCAACCATGACATTTTACTTGCTAAACTTGATAAATACCACACTGCAACAAACACACTAGACTGGTTCAGATCTTACTTAACAGGCCGCACACAAGTTGTATCCGTCTCCAGTGTGTTGTCTAGCCCTTTAAATCTTGAAGTCGGGGTACCACAAGGTTCCATTTTAGGTCCGCTTTTGTTTTCTATCTATATGAATGATCTACCCCTCCTGTTAAAGAACACTGAAGTCGACATATATGCCGATGATACAACGATCTGGTCGAGCGGAACCAATTGTACAGATATTCAAAACACTCTTAATAA